ATGCCCTTGATAGTTACTTTTTTTTTTGAAAGAGAAATAAGAAATACAGTACTGCTCTCTAAGTCCGATTACTGAGAGATATTTGGATATAAATTTAAAAATGCCTCCAGGAATTTGTCAGCGTGAAGACCTGACATAAATGATACCAGGAAACCTGCCCCTCAGGACTGACAGGGACCGAATTAGGCCTTCAGCCCTATCTGCTAAGGGTATGAACAAAAAAGGACCCTGGGGAACTGGCATGGTCAACACCTTCACCTTGAAGGTGCCAGGCCCCAGTGACATTCTGGCACAGGACTGTACTCGAAGATAATTCTAAGACATGCTGACCCAAAGCAGTAGCCCAGATAAACTGACACCCAAGGACCAACTGGGCAGTAACTAATTAGAAAGTTGACCATCAGCAGAGCAGCAACACCCTCCTCTTTGAAAGTGTCATATAAAAACTAGAAGATTCCCCTAGACCAGAGGTTCTCAATGTGTGGGTCGAACGACCCTTTCACAGGGGGCACCCAATTCATAACAGTAATAAAATGACAGTGATGAAGTAGCAGCGAAAATACTTTTCTGCTTGGGGGTCACCACAACATGAGGAACTGTATGAAAGGGTCGTGGCATTAGGAAGGTTGAGAACCACTGCCCTAGACATCCTCACCTGAACTCATGAGGGGGGGACCAGCTTAACAACCCCCGAAGTGTACCTTATCTATATGCTTAAGGTGCCCCTTCTCACCTTACAAGGGCGACCGGCTTCGTTTCTTTCGAAGTGACTCTGCTTTCACAGGTACAACGTAACACGTGTTCGACTGAGCCGTCTATAGAAATAGAGAAGGTGGCAATGCAATTTCTTCAGGAGCTTCGTAGAAATCATTGACTTTTGAAAGAATGTTTGTAGATGGGCCTACTGAACAAGCAAACAGGAAGAAAGCAGCTTCTAAGTTTTAATCGACACATACAAAAATGGATTTTTTTTCTGGTGAATATTTCTGGCTTTTATTTTTAAAGTACTTCTAGCACAAAAAATAATTTTAAATAAATTTAAAAATAATAACCAAATGATTATATTACACAGGATACAGTTATGTCATTACATGTTGAGAAAACCAGAAAATTACCTTTCAGATTTTAATTTTTAATAGCCAGCATTAAAAAATTTAATGATCTCAAAAGCTATCTGCTAGTTCAAAACATAACATAAATTAAAGCATACATAGTAGTACAACTTAACTCATTGATTCCCCATTACAAGTTTAAGAAAAGGCCAGAAGGCTTAAGAGACAAAAGGAATCCAAATAAGCTTTAATTCACACTTTTCCAACAGGTGTCAAATATTCAACCCTCCAAATAAAACAACCTTCTTTATATGTATGTCCATTTTAAAGCCTCTTTTAAATGTAGAAATTTAAGGTGTGTCTCCTTCTGTTGAAGGTAGATATTTTCTTTTAAAACTGGAGAGCTTTCAGAGGATAAATGTCATTTTTTATTACAATAATAATGGTATTCAAAGCTTACATTCTTAGCTTATTTTAAATACAAAAATCTAACTGTGCAATGTGTTTGCGATCACTATAAACCTCTCTCAGGAATTTTCTCCTTCGTAGTAGAACGTTTTCAATGGTAGTATTGGCTTCGTTGGAGAGTTCATCTAGCCCATCAATGTAACACGCATCTACTGCTGCTCTCTCACTAATGGAGAAAGAAGTTTTGTGTAATAGTTATAAAGTCCTAATACATCATCATTTACTGATACGGTTTTGTGCGCCAAAAGGTTTCATTAACTTAGTCATTCCAGGAAACATTAAATTAATCCCACAGCTAGTTTTGACTGTATCACAGGTCTCCACACCACAGAAAACATATCTTACACATTATAGCTCTAATATTAAACTATATCTTATATATTATACCTGTAATATTAAACTACTTTAATATTATATACATTTTGGTTATATATATATTCCTTTAACAGCTATACGGTCACACAAACTATTATTCAAATACACTAACTGCCTAGTAGTTTATAAAATGGCCTCATAAGACAAATCATCACAGGTCAACTCAATACTTAAATGCTACTTTCAAAGATATCTATATAAATATAAATATATGAAGTAAATATTTATTTACCTTCAATATTCCTCTTACCATCAATTTCAGGAAACAGGAAAGCAAAAGATGTTTAGTGGGAAACTTTGGGTTAATTTTAGGGACGTTAAGTTATTAACTAATCTACTTTTAGAAATGGAGACAGAATTAAAAGATTATTTTAAATTACTGAATAGTTTTTCAGCATTAATCTAAACTTCGTATTATAGCATTTCCAGAAGAAAACTTCTTCTTTTTTTCTACCCAAAAATGTCAGTAGTGGAATGAGCCACCATTTTGGCTTTAAAAAGGTGGAGAACAACACTACTCTGACGCTCTAGGGCATTCACAACGTGTTATCTTCACTGGAGAAGAAACAGAACTCAACAGAATGTCCCCAAAGAAAACTTCTAACAATACTTGGAGATAAAGGAAAATATAAGCACTTGCCTTAAGATCTTTGCATATGTAGACAAAAGTAGGTCAATTTCCTTGCGCATATCTGTTTTTTAAAAGCATTGAGTAGGTTATAAACTGTTACAAATCATCTGCATTATAAAATCAATGTGTTATTCTTTCTTAGAGAAATATAGGTATTACTATATATCACCATTCAAATCTTTCTCCAGGGCTTCTTCTTTATAAAATAGTGCAGAACTCTCAGAGAAAGACGCATCTGATTTTTCCAGAGACGACAGTTGTGGACTATCGGGCACACTCCCAAGGTGCTAGACCAAGTGCGCTCTGCCTTCTGGGAGCGGCACTAGTTCCCCTCCCAGCTTGGTCCTCCTTCCTCCTTCTCCCTATCACTCCTTAGCGTGGAAACCAGATTTAATCCTTCTTTGGGTCTACTTGTACTCTTTACTGCACATCAACACAAGTACATATTCACATTTGCATTTCATCTTTCATTTCACCCAGATGGTAGCACGAGGGTTAGATTCTTCCGTTTGTGGTGCTTTATCACAGTGCATGTCCTGGCCTTTCTACAACTGCAGAGAACAGAAATACCTGCTGGGTATTTTTAATTTCCTGTCTAACCACTGCTTCCCTTTCCCCACAGGTAGGATTTGGTGAGTGGAGAGTTCTTTTTCTTGGGCTTCTCCTTTGACATCAGGCTTACCATGTCCTTCCTGCCTTCCTGCCTTTTTCCTTCCATTCTCCCTTTGTGGTTCAGTCTCCTATGCACACTCTACTTTTCCTCCTGGTTCCATAATCCGTTGCAATGAATTATAGAGTTTATTGTGGAAGCGAACAGGTTCCAATGCATGAGAGAAACACTTAAGGTACGGTTGTTCAGGAAGGACATTATTACACAAAGTTCTTTCAGAGCTGCGAATAAATGTCCAAAGGGATTCCACCACCCCACACTGTAAGCCTTACCGGAAGGCGTCCAGCCCCTACAATTAAGTGCCCAGAAACATGCTACTTACTCTAGCAAGCCTTAACCGGAAGGCGTCGGAAAACCCAGCTCCTCCAGTGACGTGCCCAGCTGCAGTCCATCCGCTTCACGAGCCAGCCCCTCGCCCAAAAGCAGTCAGCAGATTTACTTGCTCGGTGGCCCGGAAGTCCAACACTGATCCTCTGGCTTCTGGTTATGTGGCCGGTGCTCCTCAGATGCCACAGCTGTCTCCTGGATCAAGGAGGTTCACTGTGTAGGGATTTCGTGGTCCAAATGACATGCTCCATTCCTAGCTCTGGCTGGTAAGGAGATTGATTCCCTCCTCCTGCTTCTCAGATGGCCAATTTTATACTAGCAGGAAGGCTATCACAGTGACGCCTACTCACAGCTACTCACAGGTGAATCTTATCAGTGTCTTCCCACCTTCTGACGCAGACTCAAGCAGAAGAAGGCCATTCTGTAGGCGGTACTGAGACTTTGGCTAGTTGAGCCCATTAAATAGTTCACTGCCTCTGCACCCTTCCTAGCCTACCTCTCACAACCACACCCCAAACTCTGATGTTTCTCCTTCTTTCCCTCTCTAAACCTTTGCTTAATAACATGCTTTGAGGTGGTGTATTACCTCACAATAGTGTGACTGCGGGCACACAGTTCTATAACTCAGGGGGGTCTCCTGGAATAAGAATCCAAAAGGTGGAGATTTTGTTGTACTTTGTGGTTAAGGCCTGGGATATGACCAAAAATGTGTTGGAGGCACTAAGAGAAGGCTGAGTGGATGTGAAACCTCAGGGCCAGAAAGACAACAGAAAAGGAAACCAGGAGCACTTTGCCAACCAGGCTCCCAGAAGCATGAATGTGGCAGCCATGTGTGGCAGAATTAGTATTCTTTTTCTTCCTTTTTAAATACTGATGATTAGTTGGGATTTAATACATAGATCATTCCATAGTTGAATCACATCAAGTAGAAATATACAATTGTTACCACAATCAGTTTCCAGACATTCTATTTCTACATGGACTCCTTGACCTCGTCTCCTTATATAGAAAATGAGTATTCTTTATTCTAAATGGTACAGGAAGGTCCTCAAGGGCACAAACAATACCACGAAGCTCACTCCAGTGCAGTTTATGACAGTTTCACACACACATGGCAGCAGCTAAGCTAAGCCTTAGCGTCCTGTTCCCCAGCCACTCGGCACCTTCATGATCAACTTCATCCTGACTCCTTTGTCGCAGTATTTCATGTTCAGGCCCCACCACTTGGTCTTGGGGGCTCTAAACATTGTGGGTCCATGTTCTTTCCGAGATTGTGACTTTTCTCAAACCTCAGGCCACCCCAAGAAGCAAAGGTGTTGAATGGAAGGGGTTGACAAACAATTTCCATTAGATGGCAGAATTAAGCAGAAATGAGAATTGGCATATTTCTTTCAAGACTACACTGCCACACTCAGGCCTTTGCTATTAAAACCAACAATGGAGGTGCCCCTGAAGTTCCTCCTGGGTCCCTGGTGGCTGGCTGGACATGCCCCTGTCCCATCCCTGAGAGGAACAGGGGCACATCCCGGGTCTGCCTCCACAGCCCCCAAGAGTGGGGAACTGTCCTCCAGTGCTTTGCGTGGTCATTAGCCAAGGTTCTCTAAGGTCCAGGGAGGTCTACCCAACTCCTG